TATCTATCTATCTATCTATCTATCTATCTATCTATCTATCTATCTATCTATCTATCTATCTATACACACACACACACACACACACACACAGTACATACACACACACAGAGAGAGAGAGAGAGAGAGAGAGAGACATCAGTGTAACTTTTGTTCTGTGGCGAGTTGCCCCACAGCAAGTTGGCTGCTGTGAGTTGGCCATGATGACTTGGCCATGGCAAGTTGTCCTAGCCTTGAAATCAAGAGAGCCAAATTAGGAATTCCAGACTGGCTTTGTGGTTAACAGGCCTCTCAATTAATTCCTTGTTGCTTTCTCCAACATCTACGACCATGTAAGGCCGCCAACTCCCTCTGCCTTCAATGGAGAGTTGGCCTTGTCCAAGACAAAGAGGATCACACCATGGCATGTTTGGTGTCTTCTGGGGGTCCTTCCTTCTCACCTTGGCCATGCCTGTCCTTCTGCACCTTCTCATGATGCAACTCTCTACCCCTCTCTCTTTCTCTCTCTCTTTCTCTTTCTCTCTTTCTCTTCCTTTTTCTCTCTCTCTTTCTTTTCTCTCTCTCTCTCTCTTTTCTCTCTCTCTGTTTCTCTTCCTTTCTCTCTCTCTTTCTTTTTCTCTCTTTCTCTCTCTTTCTCTTCCTTTCTCTCTCTCTCTTTCTTTCTCTCTCTCTTTCTCTCTCTCTCTTTCTTTTCTCTCTCTCTTCCTTTCTCTCTCTTTCTTTTTTCTCTTTCTCTCTCTTTCTCTTCCTTTCTCTCTCTCTTTTTTTTCTCTCTTTCTCTTCCTTTCTCTCTCTCTCTTTTCTCTCTCTTTCTTTCTTTCTTTCTCTCTCTCTTTTTCTTCCTTTCTCTCTCTCTCTTCCTTTCTCTCTCTCTCTTTCTTTTTTCTCTCTCTTTCTCTCTCTCTCTCTCTTTCTCTCTCTTTCTCTCTCTTTTCTCTCTCTCTCTTCCTTTCTCTCTCTCTCTCTCTTTTCTCTCTCTCTCTCTCTTCCTTTCTCTCTCTCTCTTTCTTTTCTCTCTCTCTCTTTCTCTCTCTCTTTCTCTTCCTTTCTCTCTCTCTCTCCCTTCCTTCCAATGCTTCACCATTTCTGGCCTCTAAAAGAGGAGAGAGTTGATCTCCCATTAACTCCAAGCTGCTGGAGTGTCTCCTCTCAATGCCAAGACAGATTCATTTGTCTTAAGCGGGTTCAGAGGAAGCACACAGGCTGTTAGGAAGATGGAGCGAGTCTCGCGGGCTCCCTTGATGGCTGCGCGGAAGACTTTTGGCATCTGGGCTGTCAGAAAAGGCTAAAGATCTGCCATTCTCAGAGTTGGGGTGGGATTTTATTTTTCTTTTTGACAAGTGTCTGAGAGGCTATTCCTAGCTAGTTGCCTAGCGCTATGTTGAGGCAGTGTGTGTGTGTGTGTGTGTGCGTGTGCGCGCGCATGTGTGCATGTATTTAATTATTCTCCAATTTGCTTCCCCTGATTCTGCAGGAGCAGAATTCATTCAGGAGGCGAGCTGAAAGAAGCAGGGAACAGAATTCTCCCATCTGTCCAACACATTTTTTAAAAAAGCTTTCTTCCCATTTGCAGAATCCACAGGGCAGCTTTCGAACAAACGACACAAATGAAAAAAACAACAGCACAAAACTGGCAAGTGGCAGTCTCCAGCAATATGTACCAGGGCCTGCTGAACGTTGTGTGTGTGTGGGTGGGTGTGTGGGTGTGTGTATGGATCCAAGTCACATGCACAAAAACACGCTCAAAATAAGTTCTATTCCAATATGCCAGTCAAGGAACTACCAATTCAGACAAACAATGAAACGGTAAACAACAACCTGATCAAGGAGCCACTAAGAAAAACTCACACTCACACTGACAGGGCGATCCACTAGTATATAAACAGGGAGAAAATCTCAGACCTCACAGTCCTCCTTCTCCCCCTCTTCCTCCTCCTCCTTTCTACAAATCCCACTCCCTTCTAGCACGGATGATGTTTCTTAGTTGGGTCATGAAACATCTTCAAGAAATCAGTCAAGCTCAGAGGGCACCAAGGACCCCACAGTCCTCCTCCCCCTCTTCCTCCTTCTCTTCCTCTTCCTCCTCCTCCCCCCACTCGCTTCCAGCATTGATGCTACCTAGCTGGGTCATCAAACATCTGCAAGGAATCAACCAAGCTCAGAGGGCACCAAGGATCCCACAGTCCTCCTCCCCCTCTTACTCCTTCTCTTCCTCTTCCTCCTCCTCCTCTTCCTCCTCCTCTTCCTCCTCCTTCTCTTCCTCCTCCTCCTCCTCCTCCTCCTCCCCCACTCACTTCCAGCATTGATGCTACCTAGCTGGGTCATCAAACATCTGCAAGAAATCAACCAAGCTCAGAGGGCACCAAGGACCCCGCAGTCCTTCTCCTCCTGATCCCCCTCCCCCACTTCCTCCTCTCCACAAATCCCACTCCCTTCTAGCACTGATGATGTTCCCTGGTTGGGTCACGAAACATCTGCAAGAAATCAACCCATCTCGGAGAGCACCAAGGACTCCATTACTTCTACAGTCTGCATGAAGGGGTTGGATCAATCCACATCTCAGCTCCTCCAGGTTAAAGTGAATTGAGTGTTTCTAACTGATGTTGCAGGGGAGAGAAATGGATAAGCTGGAAAGAATATCGTTCCATCATCCACTCCCAGCACAGGGCTCAAAGGTGCCTTTGTTATAGATAGATAGAGATAGATGTTTTCTTAAGTTTTCGCGGGTACTTACATGTATGGCATTCAGCTTTGTCTGGGTATTTTCCCACGTCATTGTAGTTGTGCTTTTAAAGTTGTAGCAACGTTTCGGCAGAATCTCATCTGCCATCATCAGGCTTCTGTATAATATACCACTATAAAAGCCGGACTCACAGATGAACACTAGACAGAAGCCTGATGATGGCAGATGAGATTCTGCCGAAACGTTGCTAC